CATACAAATGTGGAAGAAAACCTGCTGTGTTTGCCCCCATTCCAGATGTCTTTGAGTAACAGTCTGCTTTTGTCCGCACCCTCCAGGACTACTCATTATTAGTTGTTTGAACAAACATTTCATTTCCCAGGGCTGTCCTCTCACTACTCTGAAATAGACACAAGTTCAAGTGAGGAGAAACAATGATGTTTTAAAAAAGAAGAAAGCCCAGACATGAGCCAATGGTCTATTACCCAAACAGGGACGCAGACTAACTCATCACAGAGTTCCACGTCAAAAATGAGAGATGAACAACATGCTAGCCAGCCCTTGCTCTCGGGGCCTCCTCAGCCTGGGGTATCCACTTGTGCAGCTTGAGGAGCCCCCCCTTCAGCCCGCACGGCACTGTGGGAAAGCCCCTTCTGGGCTGGCCTAATGGCCGGAGCCGGCCCCGCTGCTTGCAGGGAGGAGCGAAAAATGATGAGAAAGGATTTGCCCTTAGACAAGTGTCAAACAATTGTGCTAGCAACTAGCTCTTTGTGCTAGTAGTCAAAACTGATATCTAGTGGTTTCCCGTATATCTGGGCTAACTACAATGTATCAGCATGGACTTAGTTGATGTCAAATCTTCAGATCCCTTCAGATCCCTCGGATAACCTTTAACCAAGATTCCTAAAACTCTAACTGCAGTCCTTACTTCTGTCGTCTCTGTCTTCTGTTTTCCACATAGTGTCACCTGTTATCACCAGCAAAGACCATCCCCTGAAGTTCCTATTGAGAGACAGGACTAGCTGGATTTCCTAGGCCTACTAAGAATTTCTAAGCCTAGCTGGGGAAGGTGACCGCACCCACCTTTAAACACGGGGCTTGTAACTCAGTTCACACCCGACCTATCAGGTAGTAAAGAGGGCTCACTAAAATACCAATTAGGCTAAAAACAGGAAGTAAAGAAATAGTCAGATCATCTATTGCTTGAGCGCACAGGGGGAGGGACAATGATGGGGGTATATACCCAGGCATTCGAACTGGCAGTGGCAACCCCCTTTGGGTCCCCTCCCATTGTATGGGAGCTCTGTTTTCACTATGAAATCTTACAACTGCACACTCTTCTGGTCTGTGTTTATTCCAGCTCGAGCTGAGCTTTCACTCGCCGTCCACCACTGCTGATTGCTGCCGTCACAGACCTGCCTATGACTTCCACTCATCTGGATCCAGCAGGGTGTCTGCTGTGCTTCTGATCCAGCCCGGCGCCCATTGCTGCTCCGGATTGGGATACAGTCTCCCCGTTGTTCCTGCGCAGCAAAATGCCCGGGTTCATCCTAATCGAGCTGAACCCTATTCGCTGGGCTCCACTGTTCTCTTCCGTGACCCACGGCTTCTAATAGAGCTATAACAGTCACTACACGGCCCAAGGTTCCATTCCTTGGAATCCCTGAGGCCAGAACTCCAGGTTAGAGTGCAAGAGGCTTGCCGCCATCTTGGGAGCAGCCCATCACCATCTTGGGAGCTCTGGGAGCAAAGACCTGCCAGTAATACTATGACCCAAGGTTTTGTTTCCTATATGGGATGGAAGCAAGAAACATTTGGGGTAAGGCATAAAGATCTGTTTAGCTTAAACATGATAAGGTGTGAGTTGTAGCTAAATTTTC